TTCTAGGGTTTAGTTGTTAAATTAGTGCACTAGTGTTTTTTTTTTTTCTGGCGCGAAATCTTTCGTTTGTCTCCATAATGTTGCGGCTACGCTTGAAAGTCGTCCTGCACGTTCCTCACGATTTTTACCGAGCAAGAGACTAGTGGCTCTTTCGGTGTGCCCAAGTGCTGTTGCTGCTGAGTTATTGACGTTTCGGAGTGTGCTGTCGTTTTTATTCCGGTCGGGTTTACATTTTTTCTCTCTTTTTTTTATCAGTCTCGTGTCAGGATCTTCGGCTCTCCTCGATCGATCGGTCCTGTTGCGGCTTCTGTAGCCTCCTCCTGAAAGCAATCCTTTGGCTCTTTTGGCGCCCACGTCGTTTCAGGATCTTCGGCTCTCCTCGATCGATCTATGCGCCGCTGTGACCACTGGCGGTGGTAATTTTTCAGAGCTTGGTCGGTCTGAAGAGTTTGTCTTCTTGCTGCTGTCGTGTTTTCTGACAGCGGCTGCTGGGGACAGTTTGTGGAAGTTTTGGAAAATTCGAGTGTTGGAATTTTGAGAAAAACGTTTTCAACTTTTCATCCACAATTGGCACAATTGCCACAACTGTCCGGACGGTTTTTTTTTGCGATCTTCGTCCAGAATTGTGGATCACAGGCTTGAACCATCAACGTTCGGGATTGCTACCTAGCAGGGGCTCTGCTCTCATCAACGATCGGGATTTCTACCTAGCAGGGGCTCTGCTCTCATCAGCCTGGCTAGCGACAGCGCAGCGTGAGATTTGACTTCTTCGGGTAAACTTCAGTAGAGGCGTTTTTTTCTGTTGTTGTTGTTGTTGTTGTTTTTGGAAATGGAAACGGCCTTGAGATATTGCTTTTTTTTTTTTTTTTTTTCAAAGAGATATTGCTTTTGACCTGACTGGTGATCCGCTTCTTTTTTGGAATTCGGATTTGAAGTTGAATCGTTGATTTGCATTGTATCATCGCGCAAGGCGTGCTGTCGTATGAGTGAGTGTGTGTTGTGCATGTACGACCATCTTTGCAAGTGTGTATCTCACATCCTTTGTATAAGCTGACCAACTGCTGGTGTGCATTCTTTGGCACATATCCATGTTTTCTCTCGAGATATCTGGCATGCGATCTGTGATTAATCGCAGGGTCCACGCATGCCAGTCTTCTCTGTCCCGCTCCGATTTTCAGAGCATGCTATCCGATCGGGAAGTGTGTGTTGTTTTTGTGTGTTTTGACTCCGTTTGAATCAATCTATACATGTGGAAGTGTTAACGGGTGGTAGAGCCACCAATCAATCAGGCCACAACCAATGAACGGCACTTTTGCTTCGGCTTGTTTAATTGTGGGGATTGGAGGGAGATAAAGGTCTGAGAGGTTCTTTGCGAGGTGGGATATATCTATATATGTATACTTATGTTCGTGTGCAAGTGGTGCAAGTGGGGCTAGCGTACCCTATCATTGAACAGCAACATTAGCCCTCGCTTCACTACTCTCCAAATGTGCAAGATGAGAATGGATCGTCCGCTAGAACACGGGAAAAGATACCCCGCCATGATTTTGTCTTTTGCGCATTATACGAAGGGTCTGATATCCCCATCTCATCGTTGGGCCCAAAATAAACAAGGCAAAAGGAGAAGCCTTTGGGAAAAGGCAGAGATGTCCACAGAGCGAGGTGCCCGAACGATCACCCCTTGAATTGTCGTTCGTTATATCGACCTCGCAAGCTGGAATCTGGAAAAGGCAGGAGCGTATTGCCGCGCGGGTATATTTTGGACCCGGTTATGGATGTAGACCGAGGGCCAGGTCCCACTAGCAGCGTTGAGCTACCGCAACGCCTGAATCTGGACGTGTTTGTGCAGCTCAGGAAACTCAACACCATTTCTGCACATCTCCGCAAAAGCGTCCAGATTCAGGCGTTGAGGTAGCTCGATGCTGCTCGTGGGACTTGGCCCCGGGGTCCAAGTCCCGCTTACTCCCGTGGAATGATCGAATTTTGACCGCAGATTCGGAAGATCAACGGCCAGAAATCAAGGATCATCAGCAGCGTAAGTGGGACTTGGCGCCCCGTTTTTAGAGCACATGGACGGCCGGAATTGCGGTCTGATTCGGAAAAGCTCCGGGGCCGAGGTCCCACTAGCAAAAAGGATAGGATCGACCTCCTGAATCTGGATGTGTTTTAAGTAGAGATGCAGAGAAGCAGTTCAATCTCGATTTCCTGCACATAGCCATAAATCGTCCAGATTCAGGCATTCGATCCGATCCTCTTTGCTAGTGGGACCACGGCCCGGGGACTCAAATGAACGAATTACAGGGAGAGTGAGAGTACGCTCTCAAATGAATGAAGAATGCTTATGGACAAGCCTTCCAAGCATTCACAATGTACAATGAAATAGACTTAAGGAGAAGAAGAAAAAGAAGAAGAATTGCATTCTCACTCCAAACAACAATCTGTCCATTGTCACCGATCCAAGGATAGAACACGCGACCTCCACGTTAAGAGGTAAACACTCAACCAAACAGCTAAGTGGACTGGGATAAAAGTTAAAGCCCAAGTGGAGTACTTAACCCACCCCAGCAGGGGTACTCATTTTTCCCCGCGACCCGGTGTACCCAGTAAGGAAGAATAAGGAGAAAAGGACAGAGTCAACGCAAGAACAGAAAGACACAAGAAAGAAAAGAAGCTCGTCTCAAGATCTTCCCGAAACGCGACCATTAGGCCGTATACATCGAAAAATAAACGTTTTCATCTGGCTGCCAACCGGAATCATCAGGAGGGAGATCCCACTACAGATGTATGTGGAGTAGTGGAGAGGTTGTGTGACTCCGAAGCACCGTGGATCGGACTGGATATCTGCGGTGTGTTTTTATTTGTATTTACACAGCGGGACATATGTGTGTTTTGGGGGCCTCCCATTGGGTGGTATTTCTTGTCTTTTTGAACAAGTGTTCCTCTTGGGGTCCCAAACCTGAGTGGAAATCATAACAATTTTTTTGGTGATGATTTCACACACCTTCTACTCTCCTTTGTGTCATTGGCCATGCTCAAAAGCAGGCAGAAGTGATTGTGGTTTGGGAGGTGTTTTGGAGGGTTCGATCCTCTCACCTACAGGAAGTGCTGTATGCAGTTACTCTTGTCAAAGAGAAGTTATGTCCGAACAACCCAGTAACGTGCAATGTGGCCCATTTCAAGGAAGCCTCAGACTATTGTCAATGAATATGGTCCATGTGCCCGCTCACATGCAGTTGTCTCGACTGCCAAGCCATGGTCAGTGAATCATGCCCTGACATCTGACACCTCGGCTGGAGCAGACACCATCTGTGAGAAGAGCACTTTCTTTTCTTTTTTTTTTTTTTTTGTTTATTCTTTCTATATTGTTTATCAACTTCTGTTTTTGCCTTTGGCTACCTAGTCCTAAGGCTATATCTAGAGGGGACCCATGCAAGCATAGTTTCCTCTCACTGTGAAGGGGAGATTTCATGTTGTCCCTTGCCCCTAATGTTTAGGGTATAGGGTTGGTGCCGCCAGTGGGGGTCTGGCTAACACAAAGACCGAGACCTGCCAGTAGCTGCGCCTCCCTTTTTCATCGTCCCCCACCCCTCATCGAGTAGCAGCAGTGGCTATGTTCCTTCATTTGTTTGGTCATGAAATGGTTTTTTGCATTTATTTTCCCTATTTCATGCTGACACCCACCTGTCCCCCACCCGTCTCACACCCGTCTCACACCCGTCACATCTCCCTCCTGTCGCTTAGGAAAAGGGACCATCTGGTTGAGCTGGGTTCGAACTTGGGCGCGCTTCCCACTAGCGAAGGGGATAGGATAGAAATCGTGAATCTGGCTATGCAGAGATACAGAAAAGTAGTTCTATCTCGATTTCCTGGTCATGTCCTCAAACACGTCCAGCAGAGTCAGGCATTCAATCCGATGCTCTTTGCTAATGGGACCACGGCCATAGAGAGCAGTGGGAGACACAGAGGTGAAGAGTAAAGAGAAAACGTGACACGGAGGTGACGATTAAACAAGGAGCATCAAAAAAAAAAAAAAAAAAGAACCTGGGCCCGTACATTCTTTTCTTCTGTACGGACGCCGTTGATGGTTGTACGGACTGGCAGGGACGGTTGGTGTGCTTTCATTGTCACGTCTTTCGGGCCTCGCTGCACTACTCATGACTCGTGAAAAATTGTAAGAGTGCTTCACGAGTTGTCAGAGCCCGAAAAAGGGCTAGAGCTGGGGCGTCGCTGCACTTACTCTAGCACATGGGTATTCGTGAAGCACTCTTGAAACGCGCAAGAGTTGTGCATGAGTAGTGCAGCGACGCCCGTCACTCTTGGCGTGTAATATACATGCGCCGTAGTTTGTTCTCTCTTTTTTTCCTGAGCGGCACGGCGGGGCCCTCGATCGACGTCTCTGTATCATTTCAGTTTCAACGGATTGGGAGCTAAGGGGCGGATCCAACTGGCAAAGAGGATTGGAATAAGTGTCTGAATCAGGACGTATTTCACGCAGAGATGCAGAAACGCAGATCAATTACAGTTTTCTGCGCGTCTGCCCAACACACGTCCAGATTCAGACACTTGTTCCAATTTTTTTTGCCATGCCAGTGGAATCTTGCCCTAAGGCTGACTGCCGGTTGCGGGGTTCAGCCTTCTTTTCGAGTATCGAGTACTTTTCAACGCGCCCAGAATGCAGCGCAGCCGTTACATATTATTCAGAGGTACGTGCGCTCTTTCCTCCTCCTCCCTCCTCCCTCCTCCACCTCCTCCTCCCAACACACAAAGATCCAACAAGTCGTCGGGTCATCGGTCTGAATGGGAATGATACACACCTGCGCAAGGATGACGTGCACAGGTCGAGAAAACAAGCAAAAGCGAAGAGGAAGAGGAAGGAAGACGCAAGAGAGAGGAAGAAGAAGAAAGGAAGACGAAAGGCGGAGAAAGGAGAGCAGAGGGGAGAGTGGAGAGGAGTTGAAGTTGTAGCAGATAGGATGCTAGAGACGGACCACAAGGTATCTGCTGAGGGATAGAGACAGAAAGACCGCGTGGGCGGAAGAAAAGGTACCTGCTACCAGTACCTGTCTGTTGAGTGCATGCAGGGAGATCACACAAGTGGGATATCACACAAGTAGGAGATCACACAGGTGGGAGATCACACAAGTGGATCGAAGGCGATAGGCGAAAAGTGTTCTCAGAGGGTGAGCGATGCTTCCTTACGTACTCCGGTGCCGAGTGGGCGTTCTCTCTGCTCTACTTTCTCTCCCTTCCTCCTCCCAGCCCCGTGCAAATCGGTATTCTAGGGGTGTGATCTCGGTCGTGCTGGTGTCTTCCCCCAGATAAAACTCCGTACGGCCATTATAGCTGTACATGGACTGAAAGTTGGCCCAAATGCAGCAGCCAGCTGTAATGACCGTGCGATCCATTCAGGAGGAAGGGTAGCGGTCTGGAAGATATCTGTTTCCTTTGCGTCACGGTTGTTCTCGCTCTCCCTCCAGGCAATCGTGTCGGCCCTCCTGTCCCTCTGTCTCTTAGTTTTTTCGTAATTTTCTCTTCTCTTCTCTCTCTCTCTCTCTCTCTCTCTCTCTCTCTCTCTCTCTCTCTCTCTCTCTCTCTCTCTCTCACACACACACACACTCACACACACACACACTCACACA